TATAAGCATAAGTCGCTCCCAGTCACCCCGACACATACACACACACACACACTCACACTCATCCCCAACAATGTATGTAATATAAATACATATGACTCCACCAGATTTTTTAATCCCATCATCACCTACCAACGAGCAGCCGCAAACCACCGGTGGTACATTTCCTTGCAACATCACCCCCCCCCAACCCAACCCAACCCCACCTGACCACGCTCCACCTCACCACACATCCAATACATTTCCATTAAAGTACACGACAGCAGCCATAAGTGTCGGCGTTTCCCTCGTGTCTACGTTCAGGTGTGTCTCGGTTATCTTGACATGATGTTGGGCTCGCGATGTCGGCGCGTGAACGCCCATAGCCCCGGGGGCAGACATTTTTGTTTCTTCTGGGACATCTTTAAAACTCAACACCGTGAAGTCGGACTGTTGCAAACTCACCAACTACACAGCTTGTTTTAAAGATAATAACAACCTGTTTTAAAGATACGTAGACAAGGCTTACACTGAAAGACACTTCCTTGTTTTGTACACTTTCAGGCCGCTTTTATTCAACACCTTTTTTTGTTTAATTTAAAAAACAAAATATTTTTTTAATTGATTTTTAAAATATGACTTTGATTATTAAAAAAAAAATGTCAAATGTTAAAACAGTTGCCTCTTGATTCTTTAGAGTAACTTAAACTGGGAAGAAAGTTGTTTATAAATGAGGCTTCAATGACAACCTAGAAATTTATTATACATCGAGAATCTGGGGAACTACTACTTCAACAATACTATTTATTCTGCGTCTAAGGCAAGGGATTTCGACATTAACCAAAAAATAAAGTCTTAAGCATAGGATTTCCACGTTAACCAAAAATATAAAGTCTTAGGCATAGGATTTCCACATTATCCAAAAACACAAAGTCTTAAAATACCCATTTTCAGACATGGATACTACATCATATGGCGTGATCATTTGCAGCTAAGACGTGGGAACTAAATTCTGCATTGTGTTTATTGTACCACGCGACACGGCTCTTACAGTCGATCCAAACAGAAATTTTTTTTTTTTTAAATATTCTTACAAGTCTTACAATTTGAAGCCAGACCAGGTCAGCTAGTTATTAGTCTAATATGACTTACGCTTATCCCAAACACACCAAGTGTATATTAATATCCCAGTTACCTGCATCATCAGGGCCGTCTTCACTTCCAGCTTCAAGATTCTCACACCTTCAACGCACAGCATAACGGCAGCCACAACATCCACCGCACGCGAAAAGCGTTTAAGCAGAGCCGTTTTCTTTTTACTCATGAGATCATCATAATGTGGCAATGTGTAAGAACATGGGGAGATAACTGTAAGCCATTAACAGGAGATTACGCGTATGGCAGGTGCCATGCCTGTCTCGGGGCCAATATGTTATAGGCTTGATGCCGTATGCTACACTACACCACGTATGTTAGGTGAGAGGCGCAGAAAATGATTTTTAAAGCACCAAACTTCGGGGTGGTGGGGTGGGGGTGGGGGAAGGCATGTTTTGTATGTCTGTTTGGGCCTGGCTTCCTAATCACGTTTGGCTACCCCCATGGAGCAGAAGTCTTGGGTGGTAAAGATGATGGAGAATAGATAGCACCCGTTTTCTGCCATGTGTTGAGCGCTGCTACACAACATACACATGTTTGGGAAATCCACGGCGTGGCTACCACTGGCTTGGCTCATTGGGCACGCCCTGAGGGCCGCAGACATTTTTTTGGGTTGTGAGTGGGGGGGGGGGGCAAAAAATAATTGTTTGACGGAATCACTAATAGGCTCTTTCACGGGGGAGTCAGTGGGGCCATTTTTTTACCTCTGAAAAGAAGTCCGTGACTTTTAATAACCAGTACGTAGAAGGTGAGTTTTCTCATTGGGAACTAAGTCACGCCCCTGCGTGTTACAGTTAAAGCAGTGCCGCCAGTAGAAATGTTACGCTGGTCGCGCTAAGGTACACGCACTGTTTGTTGAAGCAGGTCTATTATTTGTATATTATCGCAGCGAATTCTAGGGGGGTCGGAATAATGGCCCTTTAACGACTGTCACGACCGGCGGGCAGATAGCGATGGGGGAATTCAATATAACGAGATGTTTGCGAATTTTAAACTAATTAGCATGTTAAACTCAAGGCTCAGTTTATTTATCTGTAACAAACTTTCCCGATAAATCATTTTGAATTAAATGAGGACTACTATGGGAGAAACGTTTTTTTTACAGAAAGTTACCTTTATATCAAACCAGATAATGTAATCTTTTCTCTTTTTTTTTGTTTTCATCTTTTTTTTTAAATAGTCCATAAATAGGCTAAACAAAATGAAGTCGATACATCTGATATTGTTCTGGTTTTCTTTAAAAACAAAATAGCCAGGTCGGAAAGACAAAATTCGTAAAATGAAATGAAATATCTTTATTGTGTTCAATTCAAGTAAAGATTAGTTTCCCGGGATTTTGTCCCCAGCCATGAGCATCAACGCCGTACTCACAAACATATTTAAGTTCAATGAAATACGATTTTAAATCCTCCATATGAACTTCGCTTTTTGTTCGCGGAAAAATCTCCGTGACCTACTTCCTGTCATTCTATTGAGCTGAAACTTGGCGCATAGACTAATTGCCGAGGACACATTCTGTCAAATTTTCAATCCACCCCCCCCCCCCCAAAAAAAAATAAAAAAAAAAAAAAACACAACAGTTTATCATGTTTTTTCAGAGCGGGGGGAGCTACTTTTACCCACTTCCCGTTTCTCTATCGAGCTGAAACTTGGCAGAAAGACTCGTTGCCGATGACAATACATGTTTTCAATCTTTCAGCCTCATCCCCACACCCTCAAAAATCAGTTTTCCCTATTTTTCAAAGGGTGAGTAAGTTTACCCACTAACACAAACGGTTCTTCTTAATGAATGATAAATCACATACAATTATATAAATGCAAACAAATATGCGACGCTCAAGTTGCCCTAATCATCTTTGACTTTGACCCAAGAGCGATGAAGAGAAAACCAAATTAAAACGTGATGCTGCACCCCATGAGGTGTTGCCTTACTCTTATTAATCCTTCCAGTCATAGTGGAGAACCGCCCCTGAACCACTGAAACTTTTGCTGTATGGCAAAATTTGAAAATAATCACGACAGTTTACACTGCCGAGTCCAATTTGTTTCTAAACGCGTATTTGTTGAGCACGATTTGTACCGTAATAGCTGTCAGTGCCACGAACTTTACCTATTATCTGTAAATAAAGCCTAAACAGAAAACAGGCTCGATGAGGTCAAGGCCACCAGGCCATCTTTCACCTTGACTGGGTTTGGGTCGCACAACGCCTCGCCAACTTCAGAGTAATGCTACCACACCTTGGGAAATTTCCCAAGATCTTAAGCCTTCAAAGATCCTTTTTAAAAAATCGTATTTTCATGATCTTGGGAAATCTTGGGAAATGTTTTGACCAAATCTTGGGAATTAAACAAAAATTGAGTGACAGCCCTGCTCCAGAGAGAACGTGACGCCACAGTATTACTCGTATTGAATTGTCGTCGACTTTTAGTTTTAATGATAAGAAAGTGCGTGGCTTAGAAATGACTGAATATTCAGTTGGTTGTATTATACATTTTTCATCAATTTTGTGATGACATATGTCAATTGTTTATCCGCGGGAAGAATGCATACTACAAATAAACACAAATATGTTCAGAGTTTTGGCGTTTAACGTCAATATTGAATTTGTCACACCATGGAGCATCGACGGCACTCCCAGTGTCCATGCGAAAGTTTATACAAATTCCCTTTACCTTATTAAAAATTGAAACTTCAAAAACAATATAGTAGTAAGTTTAAGTATAAGCACCGTAATTAATATACTGCTGCAACCAATCGACCGCACTTCCCCAAATAAAGGAAACGTTGATAGTTGCAGAATAATTTAAACCAAATTATGCTAGCTTGGGCAAAGAAGGGCCAATCTCTACTAATAGATGAAAAAAGGACTACTAGCTGCAGAAATACTGCTTTTTTATGTAAGAATAAATTTGTTTTGTTAAAAAATAATATCGGAAATTAAACAAAAATTCAATTCGCCTTTTTAAATCGTATTTCTAGGATTCTTATAATGGAGTTCGCAGGGGTATTTTTTGGGTGCAACGGACAATCATTTTGGGTATGAATTGAAACAATTGTTTAAAGGAAGCTCTGCGTATAATTGTCTAATTCATGGAGGTCTTCCTGGGTTAAACACTAAATTTTCTTTATTTACTTACTGAAATGGATTTATCTAAAGAAAATAGGACTGCCTGAGCTGACAATAAATCTCCAAGACGGTCGATTAAAATTTAAATAAGCTACAGCTTGATATCCTTAGTTGCAATAGCGTCCACCCCACAGCCCCCAAAACATATATTATAATCAGATGAACTCTTAACTTTGATATGTTAATTTTTAATCAATGTTCTTTTCTCGTCCATCCTCGACCAAAGGGAAATCACTCAATAAAATCCTAATTTTCTTAATTTTACTATAATGCAATAAGCAGGGGCCAATGTTTTCAAATCTATCTATTGTACCTAATATGAGTATTCAAGTTATTGCAACAAAAAAAATAATAATAATTTAAAGATAGAATCTGTGATTAGTGCCAGTAAATTGGTGTCAAGAGTGGTATCAATTTATTTATTTTTTGGATTAAAAAGTATAAATTATTATTTTATAAATAAACGTACGTTGTTTTTTGTGTGAAACAGTGTTGTAGTTGTAGAGACGTTTTGACTTGTATTCTTGCGGAGCAAGGCTTTCACTAAACTTTCAGCTGAAGAAAAATCCATTTTATTGTTGCCTTTAAAGCTTCAACCTATCTTATTATAAATGTTTGGGTTTTATTTACATTGGTGTACCGGGTATTGCTTGTGTGTACTTGCAAATATTCTAAATTAAGAAACCAAGAAATTTAAGTGTAAAAAAAAAAGACAAAACCACAAATATGTTACATTATCTCATCAGACTTTATTAAACACAAGAATTGAATTCCATAAATAGTGTAATGCCTGTGTACAATTCATCCCATTGGCTGGCATAAACTGTTCAGCTATTCAATATTATAAAAAAACTTGAACACATGTCAAACACATTTTTAATAAACAAAGTATATATTTATTATGTCCCTATTAATTTTAAATCCTATAACATCAGCTTGCTGGCATCTACAATCTTTTTGGTCTTTTCCTTAGCCCCTTTCTTTGCTCTGGCATTCGTCTGCACCTCTTCTTGAAGTTGTGTGAAGAAAGACGTGGATGCTAGTTTTCTGTGTTCACCCTGTTAAAAAAAAAAATATTTGTAAAAAAAAACTGGTCATTTAGAAATGGAAACATAAGGACTATAGCATATCTTAGTGCAATGAACCTGAATGCATCATTTATTATCTGTACACAAGCAGAGTTCACAGAGTTGGTATATTTTATATTAGCATTTTTTATGCTTAAACTTAACACAAGCTTAATGTTGAATGCAACAAAAAAATTATGAGACTTCCGCAGTATTTGAAAGCAATCACTGTTTATAGGAAATGAAAATACTATTTTAAAATGAACACTGACACGGATTGAAAGGGACAGTGAAACAGGCATTATGTATGCAAAGGGAGCCAACTTTTAAACATTGACAGGGACAGTGAAACAGACAGCATGTATGGAAAGGCAGACAACATTTAAACATTGACACGGATTGACAGGGACAGTGAAACATCAGGAGATATGTCTGGAAAGGAAACCAACATTTCAACATAGACCACAATCCTGATATTGTGAAAATGTTGTGATTCTAAGTTTGGCAGAAGAATTACTCCCCCCCCCCCCCAAAAAAAAAACATAAAGGGTTTTTTTTTCAAACAGTTTTTTTTTTTTTTTTTTTTTTACAACCAATAAAAACTTTTTGCCATGTGTGATCTCAAGACACTGCACATTTCTCTACATGTTTGTAATTATGTAATAATCACCTGGTTTTAGTTAAACCATTTCTAAAATATTCTAAGGTGCTGAGAGAAATGTGCATTGTACTTCTGATATGGATTGTATTCCAAATGTGAATTTGATTAGTATTTTATAATCCCAAAAGCTGCCGCCAGACTTAGTCATTCCAAAGTCCTATACCAAGGGACGAAACTCAGATTTTAAGATAAATTAATTTTAATTTAAGAAAGTGTTACAATAATGTATATAAAATTATAAGACACAAACAATTTGTGTAAATGAAACAGTCCAATTAAATTTAATTCAAAGCTTAAAAGCTTTTTTCGCAGTCCAACTCCAATTTAATTAGTCAACATATTACACCAATGACCAAGAGAATAATGACAAAAAGATAAAAATATAAAATAAAAAAAAAAATTCTTTCTTTTTCTCAATTATAAATCATCAGGAATCACACCGCTAGAGGCTTCTTGGATTTGTGATTTTTCTTGCTGGGGTAAAATTAAAAAAATAGGATTTTTTCAGGACCTACAATGATGCACTGAGAAGCAACTGATAGGAATGAGATTTCAAGTTACACTAAATGGATCATATTATTGCCTAAAAATTATATTTATTACACTGAGGAAAGTTAATTGATATTTTTCTAAATCTGACGCTCATTGCTGTCAATTTAATCTTACCTTAATCACTGTGACGTTCTTGTCTGATTTGCTAATCTGTTCAAGCTGTTTCAAAGCCTTGGCTTTGCTGTATTTGTTACCAAGTCCTGGCTTTAATTTCTCCACCACTTTCTCCCGAGCCTCCTTGGCTTTCTTTCTTTCTCTCTTTTCTTGCTTCTTATGTCTTCTGTCCCTCTTCTTATCTGTAGACGACTTCTCATCGACCGCCTTAAGATCACCTCTTTGCTTTTCCTGTACAAGAAAACAAATAATCACCCTCAATAACTGGAATATTATCAAACATGCGTTTACACCAAATCTAAATGATCACCAATGAAGTCATTATTGTCACTTAAGGGTTCATTAGGGCTGATTTCTACACTAGAGAAACCTGTTAAATGTCTTGTGTTAAATTTGTTGTAATTGTAAAATGTTGTCTTGGTTTAAATATGTATTTATTTATGTGCTGAAAATGTATATGCACAATGCAATTTTTTTTAAAATCCATTTATTTGAATCAATAAAGAATTCTATCTTAACTTATCTTAAAATAAATTTTGACTCATTTATTTCCAAGTCCAAAACCTGTTTGATTTTAAATTGGTCAATTAAACTACAACAGTGAAGGCTATTATCTCAATGCAAAAACAAACAAATGTGTACTTCAATGATGCAGCCTCTGTTCAGTAAACGTGTATTTTTGTACTGTGGTCAATGATGATACATTAGTTGCACAAAGTGATCTAATCAATGATTTAAAACAGGCCTGCACAAATGTAAGATGGGCGTAATACTTTATGAAAAACTTTAGGGGGCTGAAAGAAAATAGGACAGCAGAGAAAGCTATTAAGAAAATGATAATTAAAAAGAATATTTTGTTACTTCAAGGGCCACAAAGTGGGTGCCAGCGGGCAAACGTGGCGTGCACGTATATTGTGCAGGCCTGGTTTAAAATATATGTTATTAAAGTCCTGGGATGTGATATTGCCTCCTGTTTCAATGATATTTGTAAAGGAGCAAAATATCTTTAGAAAGTATGTTGAACTGGATGGTAGCAGTAACAAACATTTATAACAATAGATGGAGGACTTTAAAAATTGTGTATAAAATATTGTGGTAATGGGGCGCTTTAAAATATAATGTTTTATTTTTCACAAAGAATCCTAAACCCTTTATATATTTTAAAAACCAAAACATCACTAAACTGATTAAACTGAAAATTTGAGAAAAATAATAAAAGCTTTTTAAAACCTAGTTGTAAAAAAATATAAGCTATTGAAAGCTTTGTAACAAATGTTTTAATTAGCTGATAATGAAGTGTCACGAATTGGTTCGCATGACTCGGTTGTCTAGGGTATAATGTTCACACTGTACACAAAGACTTGATACAAGAGTTTTTCCTGTTATTAATTATTAATTATGAACTTTTATTCCACTACAATTTAATCTTAAGTAATCTCCCATTAGTAATGTGGGTTCCACTAACAGGCTTAGCCAAAAACCAAACATACTAAGGGGGATCTCTGGCAACACTACCCACCCAACACCAGTAAGGTCTGCGTCCGACTTCCCCGCTTTACTGACTGCTAACTGCTAACGTAGTGCCCCCTTTGCCTTTAGTATCACTACGCTTATAGTCCGCCTGGTACAAAACAGACTCCCAGGAATTCTCACACATTGACATGAAGTACGGTACACAAACATGCTTAACTTACGCGAATTTCCTCAGGGGCAAGAAGTTCTGAGTCTGCTGTTGCAACAGGTGCTACCTCTTCCATGGTAATTGCAGGTGTATTAACAATTATTTTAACTTCAGTTCCAGGCTGATAAAAAAATTAAATTGAATAGTATTTAAAATTTACTCACCACACATGAACATGAAACAAATAAAGTGATAACTAAATACCATGTCTTTATATCAAGACAGCTACTAACCAACCTTCATTGGGGTGTATCTGAAATTACTGAGAGCATCCAGCTGGTGAAACAACTTATTCAGCTCCTTCTCTATTTTATCACACTCTGGGTCAGCCGTAACCTCATCTTTCTCTTGCTGCAAAGGTTGGGGAACAAAACATAGGAAATACATATTTAGAATTACTGCATAAGAAAATACTAACTTAAAAGAAACTTTTGCGAAAATTATAAATCTATTATTTTAAACTACTGTATAAATACACACACTTAATTTAGATTATATTTATTATTTAAACCATCCAGCAGCAAAGTGAATTGACTGGCATGTCATGTGCAATTTGGTTATTTATAAAAAGTTGCAGCATTAGTCAGAGATAGCTTAGCTTGATGATAATTGATAGATGTACTCTAGAAACACAAAGAAACATGCATGTACTCTTGTAAATCTATTTATGATAAATTGACCAATTTTTGTTACTTTTTTTCTTCTTATTATCTGAGTGCAATGTCAAAAAAAACAAAAAACACAAGTGTTTCTTTTTAAAAGAATCAAAAACATTGTGTGGGAATTTTAAATAAAAAAAAAAAATTAAGTCATCTATGAAATTAAAAACATGGAGTCATTGGCTCAAGCATTTTGAAACATCTCCACAATCTTTTATTTAAGTACCCAACAAAAAACTGATCAAGATCCAAATTATGTGGTTTCTCTTTGACCATTGTTGCAAACCTATGTCCTTAAACCGCTGTCAAATAAAAGAGATATGGCTTTACTTCCATTTACAAATTTTTAGGAGGTAAAATAATTTACATCATTTCCATTGAAAATAGTTTGAATTAAATAACAGTACACCCTTGAGTGGACAAAAAAGATTTCCTGCTTTTGAGCTTAATTAATACGGTACAAAAATTTGGTCCTTTAATTATATTTTCTTTAAATCCCTTTCCTCTCCCCCCTCCTTTTTTGTTTTGTGGTAGCTAAATAAGAATATAAAATTCTGCACATGAAATTATTTATGCTAACTTATTTTGTCTTTGATAAACAATTTTGTATATAAAATAATTAACAATGATTATGAAACTATAAATAATGTATTTTTATGGCAGTTTAAAATGTCAAGTTTTTTAATAAATCATAAAATCCTATTGTTGGGAAACATAACAGGTATCTAAAAGCCATGTTTAAATATTTGTAACTGCTCTTTGTACTGCATAATTTCAACTGATCAAAAGTACCATCCACTGTTTTTCTAAAATGGCCGATATAGAGATTAATAATAATAATTATTGATCTTTAGAGAGTCACCTGTTGTTTCTTGACAAACTCTTGCTCATACAACTCCCCCAAGCTCATCTTGCTCTTCTCTTGATCCAGCACAATCCTTTTTTTGAATTCAAACACGTCCTCTTTTGGTTTGTTTTTTCTCTCTACGTCATCAAATGTCTTTGAAAATTGATTTATTATGAAAATATCGATATATTTCAAATGTAGAAACAAAAAGATTTTGTTCATATCACAAATATGTTAACTTTGTGTGCATCAAACGTCTTTGAAAATTGATTTACTAAGGAAATATCTATATATCTCAAGTATAGAAACAAAAAAAGATTTTGTTCATATCACAAGTATGTTAACTTTGTGTGCATCAAATGTCTTTGAAAATTGATTTATTAAGGAATTATCCATATATATCAAGTGTAGAAACAGAAAGATTTTGTTCATATCACAAATGTATTAACTTTGTGTTATCCAAGTGTCATTCAAGGCAAATCTATCATGAGGTGAAGTGAAATGAAGCGTTAAACAAAGTGATAAATGTTATCGAATAAGTCTAATTCTAACATTAAATTCAAGGTACTTTAAAGTAAGACTGGCAAAATTAATACCTTATCCTTAATTCTCTGTTTTATGTAGTCCTCTAGTGACTTGGTTGTGTCGTCTGTTATGACAGGAGCTGGAAAATGTTCAAATACAATCAAAATTTCCATCCTGCAATATGCTGATAAATCTTTCTAAACTGAAGTTAAGAAAACTCTCATCAGTAAAGAAGAAAAAAAAATTAATAAACTAGATAATGGCAAGCCAAAACTTAATTTAATGTTAATTTATTAATATTAGAGGTGTTTGTTTAGCTGGAATCATCATTCCCCTACCTGCTCTGGTAGTATGTTGAAAATCTAAAACAGTTTCTAGTAAGCTATTTTCTGGACGCTTTGATGCTGTGGCTTCACCCATCAATTCCCATGAGGCCTCTTTCAAACTAAGTTCTTCCATCTCTCTTGCCTTAGCTTGCAGCTATACATAGGAAATAGTATGTCCGATTAAGCAACTGGAATAAGCACCTGCAAGCTTTGGTTTTCTTTATTTATAAGATAACGTACAAGTTTAATATTTTTTTAAACAGAAAATAAATATGTTTATCATGATGATATGACATTTCAGGAGCTCCAAAAACGACAAACAATAAATAAATTAGGCAGTGGTCCTTTGAAATGTGGAGAAATTCCTTCTTGACCATCACACTGGAAAAACTGAGAAGAGCACTGTGTTACATGACTACTGCAGTGGATGCAAGTTGGTAAAAGAAAAAACAATACATATATTTTTAAAGTAGATTGCAGTCCGACTCACCTGCTCTTGTTTGAGTTCAAATGATGACTTGTTTTCCTTTTTCTTCTTTGCAGGACTAGGTAGTTCTTCACCCTCATCATCACTGCAAACAATATGAAAAACAATTTGAAGTGTTCACTTAAAATTTTCTGGAATATAAGTTTCAACAAACAATAGGTCTAATTTATTTAGTGCAGTGTTACATTACAATACAAAAAACTCAATGAAAATAAACTACTTATAAGACACTAGGATTCAAGTCAAACACTCAAACACACAAGTGACAGTGTCTCTTAAACTCAACTTCATGTGTAACAGGATCAAGTCCCTGATGTAAAAGATGCAACTAAGCAGAACAAAATGCTTAATGATAAAGAGCATACAAGATGATAAAATGATCATGCTTACCTCTGCAATAAGTCACCTTTAAAAGACACTTTCTTTTCACTGTTTTTTGTTAATAATTTCTCATCCTCTTCATCATCTTCAGCACTATCATCACCATCAGACTCCTCAAATTTATGGTGTGGCTTATTTTCCTTTTGCTCATCACTTTCATTATCTTCAGAATCCACATCATCATCCTCTGAATTAGAGGACAGATTTTCTTTTTCCTCTCCTGACTGCTTTTTTTCGTGTACATTTTCCTCATCATCTGGTGGGTCAAAAAAATCCCTATATTTTGGATCCAATTCATCCTACCGAAAAATATGAATAAAAATAGTTGTTAACTTAAAGAATTTTGAGTCATGGTGTAAAAAATTATTTCATGGTTCATAAACTGAAAACGTATTTACAATAACACAAGTCTAAATCTATTTAAAAAATTAATTAGCAGCTTTACTACTACATTCTCAAGCCTCATAGATCCAGTTTTTGCCAGTGACCAAGGCAGATTTTTAACAGCTCCAAGAAATATTTGTTTGTATGAAAAAACCCTAATGTAATTTTATTTCATTTAAAATATTTTAAATGCATTTTCATTAATGCATGCACATTAGTACTGCATTTTATAAATGTATCCTTTCTAAATTATAGATTATATAAGGATCTGCAGAAAAGTAGTGCACAATAACAAATATGCATGGTAAAATAAAAGAAAATTAGAAAATTGCATTCAAAACATTTATTTAAGACTGTAACGAAGTGAAATCATTCAGAAGAAAGAGAGACAAAAGATAATACTGAAATCATTAATTATCATTTTTCTCTCTCAACAAAATGTACATCTTTCTCCTACCTGAAATGTTTTGCGTGAATAAGGTTAAATACATTATTTAATTACATTAAAACTGTCTACATTACGGCATGAAACATACTTGGCCTTTGAGATATTGCCATAGTTATAGTGTAAACTACGTCCACCCATACTGTGGCCCAACTTGTGCTGCGTGGGGCAAAAGCCAAAAATTCCAGTGCCCCATATCTCCCACACACAAATATTTTATTAAGTTTGTATAAATCATTAATAAAAGTACCAACAGGATGGTAACCCTCCATGTAAAAGTCTATTTATGCCGACCCCCACTGTTACTACGCCCCTAAACTATATTAAAAAATCTAATGTCTCACCCCTTTTTAATATGTAATGTATACATTTTCTTTTTTTTTTTAAATAGTCCAACGCATATTTCTGTATATTTAAAGAATATCTTTATTATTTTTTAAGTACAAGAGATTCTAATTCCAATATTTTTATATACACAGTATATATATTATATATCAGAATATGTATCAGTATTTTAAGTTTATTGGACTTACATCAGATTCCTCGTCAGCAAACATATCAATCTCTTCATCATCTGACTCCTCAGCCTCATCATCAGAATCTTCATTCCTTTTGCTTTCTTTTTTAATTCTTCTCTCCTCCTTTAAATCTTCTGCTTCTAAAAACTGTTCCATATCAGACAACTTAAAGAATTTGTCATCTACAACGGTGGTCCTTTTTATCTTATTTTTAATAGGAAGTTTCTTCTTAGCGCTCATGTCTGCTGCCCCCTCCTCATCACTTGAAAGTCCTTTAACAATTTCATTATCCACATCAAAATCAAAATCTAATTCATCTGGTTCATCATTATCATCAGTATCATTAAATCCATCATCCTCTTTATCCAATGGTTTTTCAGTCAAGCGCTTTTTAATTGATTCTAATATATGATCATCTTCTGCGCCGCTATCTGAACCACTGCTGAGGCCACTTTCTTCTCCATTATCAGCTTTATTATTGTTTATCTGCTGAGATGTATCTGATTTCTTTGCCAACTTGTTAAAGCTTTTTTGCTGTGATCTTGTTGAAATCCGCACAACGTCCCTCGTACATTTAGGAAATGCAAGTTTATGTTCATTCCTGAGCTCCAGCTGCTGCCAAATCTGCTCAGAATCTAGACCTCTTGTGATAAATGAGGGGAGATCTTCATTGAATCTTCCCACACTTAGAAGCTGTGTCCCAAGCATCATAAGTGAGCTCAGATGAGGCGAAAGACTAGGCTTCCCTTTTTTTCTGGAGAAGAAAGTTATTTAAACTTAAATCATTGATGATTGATATCAGAAAGGATAGTACCGGTAACAAAGGATTTGATTTCAACCTCTTTAAAACGTTAAAAATAAAATTATGACAGAAGGATTTACAAAAATATGAAATTATTATAATGGATGCTGCATCCTGATTAGTTTAATCATGGAAATTCAATTATAAATTAAATAAATATTTTGGGACAATCATGTTGCTAATTAAGGGGTTAATATGTTATTTTGGTGTTGTTAACCGATATTATTGGACTATTGGTCAGGGAAATAATTATTCATGTGCAAGAGTTTAAAATAAGTAGTCCCTAACCAGTATTTTTTAAGGGGACGCCTCATGTAGACAATATATATCATATAATAAAAGACGCCTTCGATTTAAAATTTATTTATAATTGTAGTATAAATAATGCTGAAATAACATTTTAAAATTATAACTTTTACTATAGCAATAGCACAGTTGTTCTTAACCTTTTTGGAGGAACAGAAACCCACCAGTTTCATATGCCCATTCACCGAACCATTCTTAATAGGTAAAATAAAATATGATTTTTTTTTCTTATTTTGTGTTGGACCTCCGCCGAACTACGGCTCACCGAACCTCTGGGGTTCGATCGAACCCAGGTTAAGAACCACTGCAATAGCATTAATCCCAAAAATAAAAGTCGTATAAAATTATCATTTAAACTAGAGTTATTTCGCATGATGCGATTTGTTGAATTGGATCACAAAAGGTGGTCGTGCAATCCATAGTATTAAAATTAAAAACAACTTGCTCTTTGAAAATTCATTGCTCAAAAAGTACTAAAGCTAGAAAGTTGATTCGGGTTTCGTTGGTTTTTTTTTGCTTTTTTTTAAAGTTTGCACTACACAACTGTAATATTTTTATAATTTTCTTTTTTACTGAAGTAGGCCTACCTTATCTCAAATGATTTAAACAAAATTTCCAGATGCTTTTGACCCTAGTCATTTATGAAAATTGTTAGAAGACTTTAGGCCTAGGACAATGTTTAGGCTTGATCCTTTTTTTGTTAATACCAGTATGTGAATGTTTCATTTTTATTTTAAGCCTACTTATCATTATTAGCTTAAATTAGAAGAAATTATTGGAAGTTCACTTAATTTAACTATAGTTACCCTCTTGAGATGACCGGGCCCATACATCGGCCCAAGAGTGAAATGGCAAAAAAGACTAAGAGTCGATTTATAGCCCCAATACTACAAGCCTGGAGATTAGCTGGGAGATTCCAGCTAATCAGGTTGCTTCTCTGCTTTATAACCATTCAATCCCGGTCACTCGAAAGTTTTATAGCTCATTCTTTATATACTAATAAATGAAAGTATAAAATACGCTTTAGAATATCATTTTCTTATTTAAATAATTATTTTAAATGTAACATGCTATTTTTTCCATATAAATTCAATAAAATTTGCTTATTTAGAGTGAAAAAATAATAATAACTTATTAAATACCCAGTATTAAAGTTACAAACCTCAAATTTCATGTGGTGTTGCAACTTATTGATTAAAAAAGCAAGCATTTATTTGTAATTATACAATTATATCAGAGATTCAGTCACCCTTAAAATCAAGGAGCAAGCACTACTCACAAAATTTCAATGCTGCATAATTTATCCTTATTTTTGACTCATTAAGTTAAAGCAAAATTTTGATATTGTTTGCAGTCATTTTAGCTATTAACATTGACTTACACTGAATAAGTAGGCTACAACTAAAGGATATAAATTTTTTTGACATAATTCATAAGTTGTTGATATTCATTTGAAAGATGTGACACTTATTATAATTCACCTGTGGAACATTTGTAAACATGGTGTGGAATTCTTTGAATTATTGTGTTGTGTTAGCAATTTTCTTTTGAAGACACCATTGGAAAAGAATGTGTTAGACCAGTGGTTTTTAACCTTCCTAATGCAGCGACTCTTAAATACAGTTCCTCATGTGGTGACCCTCAACCATAAAATTATTTTCATTGATACTTCATAGATATGTGTTTTCCTATGGTCTTGAGCTACCCGGTACTCCTGTATAAGGGTCATTCAACCCCCAAAGGGGTCGAGACCCACAGGTTGAGAACAGCTGTGTTAGACTTATAAGTAATTAGTAGTAGAAGTTTATTTGCCTAATATTTTTTGAAATATTTAATTGTGGTGACATATTTGATAAGCCAAAATAAGTATTTATGTTATATTTCCAGATTATAGTCTGAATAAACAATTTAATAAATTATTAACTACCCCACGGCTGCTATCGCTTTAAAAGGTAATATGCAGACAACAATTTGTCGCCATGATGAAAAATTACATAACCTAAAAAAGTGACCGCATTGATTTTTGTTTTGACCACTGGCTTCAGTCTGCACATAGGAAATTCGGATTTGTTAATTAATTATAAAATTAAATGACGTAATAAGTTTTAGAAGCATTTTTTTTAAAAACCAGGTAAATGTTGGACAAAGCAACTTTATTGTATCCCTCTAGATATGCTGCAAGAAGTGTCAACGACCTGTTTGCTACCTTCCCTCAACTAAAACATGTGGTTAAAAAAGTGTAAAAATTATGAAAATCAATACAGAATATTTTTTAAATAATGAAAACCCTCCCCAAACTTATAGTTCCATAAAATACACTTTTACACACTTATTAGAAGTTCCACCAAAAATAAAATCCAAAAGTTCTCAGAAAAATCAATACCTATTCCAAGATGCCATAAAACTTTAGCCTCGTTTTAAATATAATAATTAACCACCCAATGAAATATTAACTTACAATATTACACGACACATTATTATTAAAAACAAGAAAGGTTAACTCTAGTAACAATCCAAGAATAAACAAAAGGGAGAGAATCCTACACAGAAACTCAAAGGGGAATGCCCAACAGACATAAGCCGTTTTTTTTATAATTGACTATTTTTTATTTTTTTTTAAAGTTGTTGCTTAGTAAAGTTTACATTTATTTAAATTCAATTTTCAAAACTTTGAAAAAACTTCAAATAAATTCTCAATTTAACAAGCAAGATGTCGTCTTTAACTTGAAGCAATTAGCAGATGAGAAATTTAATATTAGGCCAAGCAATGATAACCTCTGTAAATTAAAAAGTAGAGGTCGTCATTTTGACAAAGAAATTAGGATACCCCATTTTCAGATATTCCAGGGCAATATATAAGTCACTAATTTTTTAAAAATAAATTCATTATTCGTAATTTAATTTCCTACATTGCCTTCAAGAATATATAATATAGTTTTATTTTTGTGAAGTCATTTCATTATCATTAGTTTATTTTGTAGCATTTTTTTGCAAAGTAAATGCTGAGCTTGCTAAAAGAACTCTGTCTTCTCCTTCTTGGCACAGAGAGTTCAAAAGGCTCCACCCAAACCTCTAAGCCCCCAATGTCTTGTAAATAGTTTAGTTGACTTTGAGGCGATGTGTTCCACAGTATCGGTATATAAGTAACAGAGGTTCACCCGGGTCATCTTCCATCTATAGCGCAAGATAAGTGGGGGAGGGATCTCCCCTCCATTGATGATTTCTTTGTTTCTTATTTTGGTATTTAAAAAAGTGGGGTCCCCAGAAGATCATTTGTTTCTTAGGGTATTAGGACAATGATGTGGTGCCATTTTCCTATCTTTTGAAACGTGTGAGTTGAATTTTAATCAAAATTAAAAGAAAATTTCATTTTAATATGCTTTATATTAACCGTATCGATTTAGTTTATGACTTGAAGTCAAGTATTGACTAAAACTGGTCTCTTCACTCAAAGTCCAGTGTTGGGATTCCCCAAAGTAGCCACTTTGATGAAAATTTCAAAACATTTTTAAAAATATAAAAATACTACAGCTGTATAGAGCCTGGAGAATAGATTACAAAAACACGAAGGTCAACTTTCTAGCTCAAGTGGTTCAAAAGTTATGAATTTTTTTAGTAAGGACCTCAAAACCACTTTTTTACTATGGGATTTTCCTCAACATTTCGTGACCCTCATTTTGCTTTTTTTTTAATGCCTATAACTTTATTATAAAATGAGACAAAAATATAATATTTACAGGAACATAGTTAAATAAGAGTACTTCTAAATAAAGCCACAAAATATATGTTAGTTTTTGTTAATGTGCCGCAAATATTTTTTAAAAAAAACTTTATTATTTGCCTATTAAAAATGTATAAAAATGCTGACTCATCACTTATTGGTAATTAATTAATTACAATTTGGTTATAATTTTGTTTTTAATTAACCAAAAATCATAATAATAATAATATTCTTTAGATATTAATTGCACATTTTCTGTGGAATTGTTTAGCATTTATAAGCATAAACAAATAATAAAGGGATTATTTGTTTTATTTATTTAAAATTGACAATTACACTTTTTATTTTACCATTTTCTAATATGTATACTATATATTATATTATTCCTAAGAGTATAACAAAACAATCAGCATGTCATTTATTTTAAGTTTGTAATCTTGTTTTACAAATCAACATGTATTGTTAGAATCAACTTTGACTTTAGCTGTTAATAAAATAAGTTCTAGTTATTTACTAGAGGTAAGTACAGGTTTTTATGATTGTTCTTTAGTAATAATATCTTAAGTAGTTCTTGGATTGTAGTGCCAGAAAGTGTGTTTTTTTCTTTGGATTATATAATAATTCTCTTTTGGAATATTGTGATATGTGATTAAATATAGGATATTGCAATACCAAAGGTAAGTGAATATTTTAAAATGTTTTACTTAGTTTGTAAGAATCACAATTTTCATTAAAATTTTATTACATATCCTAAAATATTATTAAATATAATTTATTATAATAGGCCCTACAAATTAGTTGGGTTGCGTCTAGGCCTTAACCCTGATATAGTATTGTATTATACTATATGTATACAAGGCCTGCCTTTAGCCTATGGTCATTATATATATATGTATATAAAAATAAATATTTATCTATAAATATATAAACTAATATAAATGATAAATATATTAGTTGTAATAAAAGCTATTTATCCCACTCCTTATTAAATCATTTATAATAGTGTAATTACTATTATAATACTTTTACTAAGCCTATCCCTATCTAAGTCAAAGACAAAAGCTTATCAATCCCATGTCAGTGTCAGCCAGGTCCATGGCAACCAACCCAAAAATTAAAATCACTGATATTCAATAAGCCAATAATAATTATTTATGTTATAAAACATTTTTTATTTTTATAAAATGATTTATTATTAGTTATATTTCCCGTTTACACTCTGAATAACCAACTTAATGAATTATTAATTATCCCATGGCTGCTATCGATAATTGGAAATAAGCAGACAAGCACGGTGGCCATGATGACAAATTACATAGCCTAAAAATCGATTATAAAACGCGAAACAACGATACCCTCAATACCGGTAAATTAAAAAGTAGAGGTCGCCATTATGACAACGAAAATACGATACCCGTTTATCGGGTATTTCCGGTTGATACCGAGGTCCCTACCCAAAGCTACATCAGTGCGCTTAGGGTGAGACAACTCTTGACCAAACTCCAAATGCATACTACTCAGTCTACTGTTAACCCAATAATTAAACTTTTTTTAAACTCCACCACTTAACCAGGCTTACCCTACCATCCTCCCTGCAGCTCCACCCCAAATTACGGATTTTAACCTTCAAACGTGACTGGCACAGACCGCATTAAATGGGCCTACATTGTATGGACATCACGGTCTATTATAGCAAAATATAGGAAGAATGAAAAAGAATTGAATGTCCGTTACTGAGTGGGAAACAAATTTAAAAGAAAAAACAATTTGGTGATAATCAATCAAAATTAATAAAAAATCAGCAATTAATGATTATGAAATATCATATTCACAACTTTATATTGACAAAGAATAATTTACTCTGTATCTGTTAACACTTCTTGGAGTTGCACTTTCGATTTTTTTGACATGCGTGTTTTGGTCGCCATTTTGTATGGAGCGGAAGTAAACAAATTTCCTTTAAAAAATTACATCAGAAAATAAGAACTGGTACAAATATTTAGGGGTAATAAGGGGAGAGACTGCAATCAGGTTAGTACAAAATAAAATGAGTAAAACAGAGTATGGTTAAACCTGAAAAATTAAACGCAACAAAACAGCGAACGTGTCGGCAGAAAGCCTTCGTCAGCGAACAAAACAACAGAAAAAACGTGATAAAAATAAGAAATAGCACTTAGCTGGTAAGTAGTATCTGTGGGCAGCAATAGAAGACACTTCTAAATACACAAATAAAATAAAGGGTGGGATAAAAATAAATCTATCGTTTCTGGAGGTCACAAACATGCAGGTCACAAACATGGAGGTATCTACAGCAGATGCAGGTCTTCAAAATGAAGTGACTGCAGTTTGCAGTTGACGTCAGTAGAATACTGATGATTACCTTCAGTTCCATTTTTTTGACAAACCGCTGAACTGGATGCCACTGAACACGCTATACCAGTAGATGCTGTATACATTATGTATTATATATACTGTATATTTATTTATTTACTATTAAGATACTGTATTGTACGATTTTGAGACGATATTGTACGATTTTAGGAGATTGAGGGTAAACAGGTCTGATAACAGATCTAATTTTACATAATTATTTAACTATGTAGCAAGGGAGATAAATCTGCCAATTTGCTTATCTTGAACCCTTTTTGATTGAATCATTTTTAATTTATTCACAGGCTGTGGTGCTGGCTTTACAGACCCCGATCCCAACTGGTATGTTTGGTTATACTGAGCCAGAGAAGGAGGAAGTTACACCAGAGAAAATTCAAGTCTCAACCACACCCAAAGGATTTAAGAAGAAAGCTGTACCTGATGAAGGTATTAGATAGCTCATTGTATAAAGTTACGTATTTGTGAAACAATCCATTTGAGTACATAAATAAGTTAAATAACATTCTACAGTAGCAAGTTGAGGCAATCAAGTTATACATCTACGAGTATCTATGCCAGTAATTTTCAGTCAGTTGACCTTGTACTTGCTTGGCTATTTTTAGCCTACTATGGCAAAAATCAGAATTTGATCTTTAAAGGAATTGCTAGGAACTGAATTAGACTTGACTATATGGAGAACGTTGAAGGTCAAAGGTTCTTACTCCTCCATCTGTTGCTCTTTGATTGCTTCATTTATACTGTTTCCTGTGACTCAGCGGACAGATTAGGGCATTCACATTAAAAATGAGACTTTCGTAAAAAAACTGAGTATCTATTGATGTAGAAGATCTGTTTTGAAACCAATTCTATTTTTTTAGTACCCTATGTTACGGACTAAAAGATGTACTTTTTTCTTTGAAAAATTGCCTCCCTAATTCAAATGAGTCTTATGCTCAAAAATTAGTAAAAATGGTAACAATTTTATTTTTTTGTGTAAATTGCTAAAAAATTAAGGTTTCCTTATAGTCCGTAGCGTGTTATAGTCCGTATGTATTATCAAAGTTCCATTACAGCAAGATCAGATGGACATAATGTTTATACACTCATAAGGTGATAGTCTTAAAAACTAACCATGTGCATGGTGCAATACTTTAACATCCTGTGACATTAGTATTGGAATGTCATTATCGTTATCTTCTGTAACTTATATACGTGAAATAGTATCAATGATACAGTCACAACCACCAATTAAAAACAGAAGCCATCTGAAAGTAAAATCAAAGGTTGAAATATGATCTTTATTTTGAAAATGACAACAAATGAAGTGAGAATTTGAATTAAATTTAAATAACTTACTTTACTGGATGTTTCATTAAAAAAAAATATATTTTATTTTTAAAAAGTAGCATTGTTTTAATTTCTACTACAAAGGAATTAAAACATACAAATTTAATTATCATTTTTGAAACTCACTGAAATCTTATTGTTCTGATTATCGTTTTAAACATAACTGAAAATTAGATTACCATTACTCATTGTTAATGGATTCCATTTAAAATTATAACCTATTAAAATTAAATGCAATGCTTTCTATTTCACAGCGATGCAAGATTTAATCAGATTAGTACATGGAAACACTTCTGGCATAAAGAGATTGGTTCGAGAATTCAGGGTGTTTTGGTTAAAACAGTCCCAAAAAACTCTCTCAGATACCAGTTCCTCAAGCCAAGAGGATAAGGGGAATGATAGTTTGGTTGTCACAGAAAAGGAATCAGCTGTGGATCAATCTTTCAATGATGTCACCGAAACAGAAGACAAGCTGTCAAGAAATGATGAAAATAAAGATACAGAAAATGTTAAAGAGGAAGGTTACGGTTGTTGTATAAGTAAACGTCAGCTTGAATTGAAAATTTTGTCCATTGCTGTTCGTGAGAGGCGTGAAGGCTTTAAAAAAATATGTTGGTATGTCCATGAAAATATCCTTAGCCAATTTAGTATGTCTGACATTAAACTTCCTAACTCATGGGTTTACTTCTCAATCACTCCTGCCAAAAACATTGTATCAAATGTCAATAAATCTATTAACATAGTGAAAGATGACTGTGCAGCAGAAGTTAATGAATTGGAGAGGCAGGAGGAACAGGAAATACCTGTAAAACCACAAGCTAAAGATCAACGGTCTATTAAAGATTTTGCTCTTTCAAAAGAGGAGTTGGCTAAGAAGAATGAGATTCAGGCTGCTAAGGCTGTTGAAATTTCTAACTTAAAAACAAACATGTTAGATACTCCCAAAGAAAATAAGTTAAACATAGCTGTTGAAAATTCTAATCCCAAGTTAGTCGTATCAGATACCCCCAAGTGTATAAAAGCCATAAACAAGTCTCTTCAAAGTTCTACCACCAAGTCAATTGTCTCAGACACCACTAAAGAAGTTAAGAAATCTAACAACCAAAGATCCATTATGGAGTTTGCAAAGAAGCCAAAGTGTGGCAAAGACATGCTTTATGTAACCTCTGAGTCAAAACTGAAAATGGCAAAGTGTACAGTAGGTCTTGAAGAGATCAATACAAATTTGTATAATACTTCAAATAATAAAAATGGATCCAGATCACACGAGTCGGATTACATTCTGATCACAGATTCTGAAGATTCAGCTATGTCTCCCTTTACCATCATGGGGTATATGACTGATACTCCTGTAACTGATGCACGAAACCCATCTATTTCATCTACACTTGTGAATTGTGACAAAGGCATTGAAACTATGGCGGACAAAGACAATGAAGCTATGGAGGAAAAATGCATTGAAGCTATGGATGAAGCTATGGATGTAGACTCAATTCCTAAACTCCAAAACGAATCCCTTTCAACAACTGAGAAAGTTAATGTTGATAGCATTACCATAATGGAGTAAATAAGTGAGAATTTTGTGAACGATAACATAATTTTATATTCTAAAGACTTGTTTTGACATTGTTTATGATTTGTATGTTTATTAGAATGTTAAAATGCATGTGTTAAAAAATTGCGTAAGTAGCACTAAAGTAGTAAGACCTTTTTGATGATTTTAAAGCTGATGTCGATATCAGTCATTACAACAAAAATTATTACTTTGTGAAATAAATGTTTCTTGCTAGATGTATTACTAAAGTAATGATATTTTGTATAAAAAAAATAAAAAAATCATGAGTGAAAATATAAGTCTTTCAGAACATTTACAATACCTATGGGAAATTTAAGCCCACTGAAATAAATATGTTGCTAAAAGTCTTGTAACTTTAAGGGCAGCTTGTTCCTTTAATGAGAGATAACATAATTAGAATGATCTAACACTATTTCTAAAATAAATTTATACTAGTTCAGGCATGGTTTGTGATTGGTTTAATTGATAGAAATTATTAGAAAGGATTGAAAAATGTGAATGAAAATATTCTTTCAGCATTTCATCTAGAAATTAAGTTGAGCCTTTAATAAGTAAACATAAGTAAAGTTATTATCATTTTCTGGTATGCTGCTCCTCAAACAAAATTTGTGTGTGTACCTGTACTGTTTATTTGTGTCACAAAATATTAGTTTTATTTTGTGTCAGTAGATAAAAATGATTTTACACCCTTGCAGTACATGTTTAAATGTGTATTTATAACATTTTTATTGTTTGTTGCATATTTATTATACATTGTATTTTCTGTAATTTCAATGTTTTCAAAACCTCAGCCATTTAGTCCTAAAGAAATGTCCTGACAAGACAACACAAAATTTACTAGTACTAATCTGCCACACTATTTGGCCAATTAAAAAAGCTTAATTTATGTAAATCATTTTCCCACATTTATTCTGCTTTCATTAGTTCATATTTATATGGATTGTATACTTATAAAAAGTGTATTTATTCGTAATGCACTTTTAAACTCTTCAATTTAAACAAGATGTCATTCGTTTTTATACTTGATTTAAAAAAAAAAAACATGTTTCACGATTCATGTTTGTTCTTTTCCCAGTTGCCATCAATAAAAGGTTCAGTGTTGTATTTTTGTATTTAACTGAGGATAACATCTACATCTTTGGTGTAGCTCTTCCTTTCAAACATAAATGATCAGGTGTAACTTAATTTTTTTTTCCTTACCTGAAAAAGTGATAACATTTTCTAATTTTAAAATATCATTGTGAAGATATATCAATATACAAATTACATAGCTGCTTAAATGAAAGCAAATTCTTTCCATATATTAAATTTTTTTAAAAATTAACCGCAGATCTTTACAACATTTATTTAAATTATGTGCTTTTGTTTAGATCTCATAACTTCAGAGGGTCGAGCATTTATTTTGAACTAGTTCTAGTGCTGGTGGCTACAAGTACTAGTTTAGATTTAGATTGATATATTTCAAAATAAAAGTACCCTTTTGGTAGTTTTTGTACTGGAACTTAAATGTGTTTTTTTATGAGCTTCATTAGATGAATTTGAGGCAATGTAACTGAATAGGAAAAAAATTATTGTAAAATTTCAACTTTGCCTTATGTTCTGGTATTTATAGTATAGTGTAATTTATGTAAATACTTTAGTATCCAAAAATAGTTTTGTAAATATCACATTACAAATCATCTAATGAAACTGGCTTTGTTGTTTGTTTTTTGAGTGAATGCTTTTTCTCTAGCTCATTCATTTTCAATTCCTGGTACAGAGTCAATGTTACTTGAAAAAGCTCCCCACTCCCCCTCTCAATCTCCTTGTCAAGAACTCTCAAACTTTCCAGGACCCCTCCCTCCCCATTAAATTGTGAAGGACGCCCCCCCCCCCCCCCCCCCCCCCCCCAATGCAGATCTTTTTGGAGTCTTAGCATACAGATGGAACAAAGAAATTAATGCATATTTTAAATCTTCTTGAACAGATTTTTAATTATTTTGTTTCATCTTGGCATTGATAAGCCAAACATTCCACTTTTACAATAGTGCATAGCAACAGATAAATTTATCATTGCTTTGATATGTAACCGCCTAACATCATCTTTGTCTAGTCTAACTATTCTGCATTTAAAATCAGCATTTTATCTACAACTTCAAGCAAAAATAAAAAGCACATCTTTCTTGTCTTTTGGCAGCCACCCTCCTCGCTGGCCCCGACATTTTCTCCTCAATGTTTTCAGAGGTCATGATAAAAATCTGTGAGACCTTGTGTGAATTGGCATCCACACTGCTCCCTCCCACTTTGGGACAAAACCATGTGTATGCAGCCATTGCAAAACTTGCCCTTTTACTTTTATCATCCAGATTCAACACATTCCCTTCCCTAATAGCGGCGATGCGTTTCCAGTTCCATTTTTACTAAATGGGATGTCATTTGTTGTAGTTTATTTTAGTTAAACTGAAGAATTAGGTTTACAAACATATATTCCATTCAATTATCTTTCATTGGATACCAAATTTTCTTTTACAAGCTCAACAATAATATTTGTAATATTTTTTAATAAACCCACCCTTCTCACTTCTGATACCGATTCCGAGTAGCCACTTCGTTTCTGGTATGAAGGGCTGCATTTCAGGAACGTCATTTCATTTTTTTGTTGTTGTCTTTTTCAAGGGGTTGGGGGTACCAAAACTTGGCTGGCTTGTTGAGTTGTTTAAGTTATTTATTACTGGAGGCGCCACAGGCCACAGTACATAATAGCAATTTTAATCAAACCTATAAAATAGGTTGGTGGGGGGGGGGGGTGAGCAAATGCCCTACTCAAATGCTCCAAACATGGAAAAAAAGTGCCACCTGGGTCAGATCGCATACCTCTCTAACACCACCACCCTTTTTCCAATCTCAAGTGGGTAATATTTTAATTAAAAAAGTAGGGGAGAAAAATCGTACCGACCATCATTAGCGTAACACTAAAAATATGAAGTACCGTACTAAAATAAAATAGTCATTCAAGAGAAAATATTTCAATGCATAACACTTATTTTAGAAAAATATAATTTATTGATTTTGTAATTTATTTGATTTAAATGTATTTTTTAAAATAAAAACGAACTTTCAAAATATAATTTAAAAACAATTTGAGTCATGTTACTGAACTGAAGTTTTTGTTTTTAAAGAATCCACGCTTGGTAATGTACGTGTGTGAATGTATTTACTTTATTTTTGTATTACCGGTTTCATCACTTTAAAAGACTATTGTATAGTCGTAACGCTTGATAAGCCCCTGATGCAATATCACAGTAACATGGACATTATTTGTATTAGGTCTATAACTTATTTATAGCTACAATATTTGTCAAAGATTTATGTCTGAATTATGCCTTATGTTTTTTGTCACTTCTACTTCTAGTCTACAGAACTGTGAGTGACATCATCAAAGGAAGAAGACTATAATATAGACTATAGGTATAGGGTTGCTACTTCCCAACATCTGTGGTTTCGGTGATTGTTCCATGCTCGATATAATTAGAGCAAAGAGAACATTCAAAGCATAACTTGCCAATAACCTACAATGGCTTCACTAGGTATGTTAGGACATTTAGTCATTGCCATTTGATTAGTTTTATTTTTATTTAATGAATGAATTCATTGACTCTTCAGTACTTAGGCTACTAAAAAATAAAATAATTTTGATGTTTTGTCAATATCATTCTTATTCTAGTTGATTCATTATTCAATCATTTGCCTGAATATGAATATTATAGACACAATGACAATGATGTTCATTTCTGGGTTTCTCTTTTTAGCTAATTTAATATTGTATAAAGTTTGATCTTTTAACTTAAGTTTAAGTCTTAGACTATAAGTTACTATAACTATAAGTGCCTGGGTGGTGAATAATTGTGGTTCCCCATTATCTATTTGTTATTATGGCAATGCACAATAAATTTGGCAATGCCTCAAGAATCAAATGCATTTTTAATGATGTTTTCACCCTTTAGTAGCAGACAATACTATTACTATCACTATAATTATATTGATAAATGTCATCAAATTAGTGTTATTACAATTTAATTTTAAAAATTAAAATTTTTAATAAATGTCAATCATTGCTACGCCCAGAATGTAAACATACCGTAAATAATGACTGTTTATATTTTTACCAAATTTCATTGAGTTATTAGGCGCCTTAGGATAGGAATATTCACTTGACCTCTGCACCTTTCAGAGTAATCTGAGTGGACTATTGTAATTACTATAGGCCATACATGATCCCATTATTATCATTTGAAATTGAATAAATGCAAATTTAAAAAAATTTAAAACAATATTTAGGCCATCTATACATTACATATGCAAAAAAAAATTAATTTTAGACCCATTCCCCCTGTTGCGCTGGTATTTATTATTTTTTTTTAAAACACCTTCACCCGCTATGCGTACAGTTTCAGAAGAAGGGGGGTGTGTTTAATGTGTGTAACGTCAAAACATGACATTTTTATTATTATTTTACCTTAAATTTTAAAAAATACAATTTAAAAAACAATCTAATTAAATTTTAAAAAATAATTTTATTTCCATTAAGAGGCCATCCATAAATAACATTACACACATTTTGCCAAAAGCCCCCCCCCCCTTTCACAAATCACCATAAAGTTAGACCCCCCACCCCCTTTTAAATATAACATCACAAACCTCTGCATATTTTATTTCCCTTAAGAGGCCACTCATAAATAACATTACACACATTTTGCCAAAAGCCCCCCCCCTCCTTTCACAAATCACCATAAAGTTAGACCCCCCACCCCCTTTTAAATATAACATCACAAACCTCTGCAACCCCTATAAAAATCCATCTGTCCTTTACAAAGCCTTTAAAAAATCACCTGCCATGGATAACGAATTACTGCTCATGTGTCAGAAACATTTCCCTAGAATAGTAGTTCTTAAACAGGAGTGCGGAAGACCCTGAAAATAAAATTTCATTTGCTGCCATTGCTAGTTGTTCCTGCCTTTAAAAATATAATCGGTTTTATGGATTTTGATTAGTGGCATTAAATATTTTTTTTCTGGTGAATTTTGTTTGCTCATTACTTGTATTGGTAGTTTTTTTCCTCTTGTTTATAGAAATTTAAAAAAAAAGGGAAAAGTTAATTTTAAAAATCCAATCTAAATCTGATTAAATAGAAAAAAAAGTTGCCATGAAAAATTTCCTCAAGAACCTACAGGCCTACTGGGCCATTCCCACCAGAGCAATGCATGCTCTCTGACTAAATTTCTGATCTGAGTGCCAGTGCAAAAAAAGAAGGAAAATGATAATGTTCCAAACCACTTTATTTTGTTATATCAATCTTCAATAAAATGCAATTTTGAAAGTCTGATACAAGAAGGAAAAAATGATAGACTTCAAGTCCCTCCCTGTCAATTATTTAAAAGCTTTGGATCCCACACTAGTAGCAGAAATAAAAAAAAGGGGCAGGCTACTCTGGGCGGGACACTTAGAAAGAATTTCTAATGTTAGAGGAGTGAAGAGGGTGCACCACCAAAACCCCTTAGGAAAACGGCTCAAAGGCAGTCCTAGGCCTAGATGGATGGATGATGTGGAAAAAGATCTACAGTCGCTGGGAATCTAAGCATGGAAATGAAAAGCATCAGTTAGGTCTGAGTGAAAATAAGAGGTGAGGCAAACCAAAGCCCAACATGGGATGTAGTGCGACAGGAATGGATGGAAAAGATTTTCCAAATTCCATCTTTTTCATTACCTACTTGTGTGTGAAGATATTTTGAAAATTGAGATACTAATATCTATCTACAGAGCAGTATCATTTGATGAGCACTTGCACACAATTTTTATGATAGTGAGTACTAACTTTGAGCCTTCAATAAATGGGATTATCTCAGAAAAGAAAGTTTTCAATCTTTTCACTGATTGGAAAAGATGATTGTTCAGTTTGAAAGTTTTTTAAATCTAATTTGTAATCCTAATTAAATCAATTCAATCTAATTTAGAGAAAACAAAAATTTATTGCTTCCAGTTGTATTATGACAGAAAAAAATGTGTTTCTCATGCTGTTTTAATATTATGAAAATGTGAGATACACTCTGATCATACATACGGTACAAGCTAACTTGAATTTGGCACTATCAATCCTGTCCCTGGAGCCAGACCAGATTTTCTAACCAGCCCTTATCATAAAAAGTTTACTGATCCCTGCTTTAAATTGTTAGTTTGGAGTTTTATTTCTTTTATTGATATCTCCCTCAGCTGAATTATATACTTCTGAAGCAAAGGGCAGTGATGCAACAGGAGATGGTACAAAGGAGAAGCCTGTGAAAACAGTTTTACAGGTGAAACATTTTATACTATTGTATTTAAATCAGATTAAGTTAAGATGTGGCTGATGCTTTTTTTGGTTATGCTCCAGGATATGATTGATGCTTAAAAAAAATCTGATTAACTTGAACTTTATGTTAATTAGATTTACCTGACACAGCCTTGGGCTGTACTTATACATTCAGAAGCAGATAGTTAAGTTTACAATTAACAGTGGCTTCATTGAATTCCCTGGTGTATCATGGCAGAATGATTAAAACATTGGCTTAAATTTGTTTTACATAAGATGAGAAAGAGTTAATAATTTGGAGATAAACTTTCATTATTAATTTAAGCAGTCTGTACATATATATAAACATTTGTTTTGGCAGGCAATGAGGTTAGCTGGTAAAGAGCCATTTCCAGTAATCTATTGTGATTCCAAGAAAGAGGGTGAAGTAAGATTCAAGATTATCCTTTATTTTAGTGTTGTGTTTGTGTAGTTTCATTTTAAGCATCCTCTACTCCATCTCTACTTGTTGAAAATCTCCTCTTTGCACCCACCAAATTTCCTATTTTTTGAAGGCATTCATGTTGGCTTAAAGTTCAGCCCATGCACCAGCTTGTCACGCCAGTCAAAAAACTGTTAATGACCATCACATTTTTAGTTAAAAAATGGTTATTACAAATTAAGTATACACATACTTAATACAATGAAAGGTTAATTATAAGTCCACCATATTAAATAAAAAAATCCATTGCATAATTCACAAATTTCTATAGAAAAGATCTGTAATATTGGCACTGTAATGTTGAATCATCCCAGCTCACACAAGCCAATCAAATCACTGCCATCCTAAACCCTCATTCTGCAGTTCCCAACATGTTTTCAGTACCTGAATTAGCCAAATTTCAACACCAAATATTAAGACGTGAGCCCTCTCCTAAGCATAAAAGTAAGGCAACCCATATTAGCCGAAATATTCTCTTTCTATTGTCCTGTGTGGATACATTGATGACAGCATTTGAATCACTACCATGGAAACAAATGAACTCCAACGATTTATTGATTTCATAAACGTATTACACTCATTTATTAAATCTACTTTACAAATCTCTTGGTATTGTGTCAACTTTCTGGATATTACCCTAATCTTAAAACAGATTATTCACATCGCCTACTACAGACCTACAGACAGCCATGGTTGTACTGATCCTATTGTACCTATTGTACTCATCCTCCCACCCCATATCATGCAAAGATTCCATACCTTTCTCTCAAATTCTCAGTCTATGTCACCTCTGCCAGATGGATAAATACTTTTTAGATAGGGCTAATGAAATGATGGACTTCTTTTGCTCCAGATCTTTTCCTGAAACTACTCTTGTCTTGGCACTCAATTGTATTAGCACTATCACACGGAATGATGCTTTCAAACCTCATCCAAACAAAAATGAAGATTGAACCAAACTCATTCTAATCTACCATCCTCACAATCTGATTGCCAAAAAAATATTCCTAAAGATTCAACACATACTTCATGCTGACCCCAACACCAACAGGGTATTCTCTGCTTAACGTCTTCAGTCAGGACAAAATCTTGGTGACCTTCTGGTTCACAGTTGACTTCGAGTTGACCTGTTTCACTACATGCTCAAGAAGCCATTGTGGGACTTGCCCCTATACACCACGAAGCAAAACACATTAGTCTCCTTAAGGGTACTTTTACCATCATAGAGGGCTTCACATGTTAGTTGTAATGTGATCTATGCAATTATGTACCATAGATGCCGCTCCTGTTATAAATGCCAATAGGAAGAAGATTATCTGACAGTTAACTGAAAATCTTTGTGATGTCGAACAAGGCAAACTTTCCCTGGTCTCATCCCATTTAACGGAGATAAACACAAAGGCACATCAGATATTTCCATCATGGCACTGATTTCTCTACTAACACACCAGTGAGAGTTAGGAAGGAAAACAAATTAATTAAGATCAAGCACAATATCACCATATGGAATCAATCAAATATTCTCCTACTAGTGATCTTCAATTTCCTTGTATTTATTTTCTTATATTTTGCATATTTCCAAAAAAATTTTGCCGTTAAAATCTTATATTTCACAGTAATGATACATAAATATCTTAATGCTATCTCTCACTTGAATAATATAAGAACTTTATGATACATAAATTCTTTTAATTCCTTTAATCCTTTAAACCCAATTTCTCGCAATGACATAGCATTTATAGTAAATTCCAAACGGTTACCAGAAATTTTTTGAAAGAAATTTCGTTGATGGAAAATTGATCAACCGAAATTTGTGTGAACTGAACATTGGTCGAATCTTTTTTCAGTTCACACGTTGAAATTTTCGTCAAATTTCTTTTTAAACGTGTGAACTGAAAAAAAGATTCAACGAAATTTATGTTCGATCAATTTTCCGTAAACGAATTTTCTTTTAAACAAATTTCCGGATACTATTCCAAACACTTGTTTTTTAACTGTTTTCTATTTCATATTGTTTCTTCTTTTGTCCTGTCTGCTGAAGATAGCTTTTAGCTGAAAAGTTATCTTTTTATTGTCCTATCATTAGATTTCAAGCTTCCACATACCTTGTTCCACCATATTCCTTACACAACTTGAACGCAGACGGTCATTTGTTATCCTATATTATTAAACTGTTTTATTCATGTTTGACATTCATATTAAATTTTATTTTCACTTAGATTTATGAACTGGTTGCAAAATCACAATTGAAAAAAGTACAAAAAATATGGCAGAGAGAACAGTACAAGAAAGCAGATGCAGATGATTCATTGGTATGTTTAAAAAAAAATAAATTGAGCCCTTCTCAAATCTCTTCCTGTAAAAAAAAATATTAAATTTCACATTAAATACTGTACTAAAAAAAATAAAAAAATATTATACTTTTGAAAATTTAACATCCTTATATTTAATTTCAGCAAAAAGATGCAGAAAGGAGAGAAAAAAACTTAGAGGATGCCAAAAAAATCACTATAGCAAATGATCCTAGTTTGCCAAAGCCAGTTGAGGTAAATATATTCATGCTTTTTTCGCCCCATTATTAATAGATTTATCTCATATCATAACAAAAGAATTATTTTTTTGGGTTAAATCATTTAAATTAAATTCTTTAAGTTTATGACACAATGATATTTAAACTTAGCTTTTAATTTTCCAGGAATTTGAAAAAGTTTAAATAGTTTTGCACAGTTAAGCTTTTACAATATCTTAATGCTATCCCTTGAATAATATAAGTTATATAAGCACTTTTTATGTTACAAAATAACACAAAAAAAATTGATCAACTCATAAATGCAACTTCAGCTACAGAAATTAGTCTAGCTGTTCTTTTTTTGTAGATTAAACTTAGAGATGCTGTGAAAACAAGAGATCAGAGGGTACAAATTTTTGGATGGGTTCACCGTTTGAGGCGTCAAGGTAAAATAAGAATACTGTGAAATTTGTTGTTCAATCTTCCTATCCCTTTTGTAACTCGGTCTACGCAGTGCCACATGTCTCCTAATTCTTTGCTTACACAGACCTGATAACTCTTATACGATTTTGGCGTACAATGTACAAATTTTGATATTTATTTTAGGATTGTACGCAGAGGCCAGAGACTATGATTTGACAAGACTGGGCTAAAAATATATTTCAGTAGTTTTTCCACTCTTTTAAAAAAAAATTAGATTTTCAGTTTTGTTTTTGCTCCTTTCAACATCTGGCAGTGAATGGACAAAGAAATATAATTGGTTGGGGACCATCCATAATTATAGTATTTATGCACTGAGAAGGGAAGGAAAGATGGTAATGACTTAGAAGTGTAGGGGTGCACATGGGTAGGGGGGGGTGTCTAAATATTACTAAAGGCTATTAAACAACACCTCGTTTCGTAAAGATGGTGATGATCATCCTATTGTTGCTTTGTAGGTTCACAATGACCTTTCAAGATACACTATAATCACTGTAATTATTAGTTCTTTGTGAAAATGGAGAAAAATACAGACTTATTTTAATGCACTCTCAACTGCTCCACACAGCAGTATTAGATTTTGACATATCAGCTACTATACAATTTTACCATAATATCTTAATGAAAAATAAACTCAATACAAGAGTGGCCAGCGACATAAAATATAATGGACCATCGGATGTAGCAAAAATGCACATATATCTTCATTCAATTAAAGATTATTTTCATTCTTGGCTTAAAGGCACATTTGAAAATATATACAACTCTTTTTTCATGATATGCACCATTTCGGACTGATTCAAAAAATAGATTGCATTAAGTAGTAAATTATTAAAAAATGTTTATGTAATATTTAGTTATTACTAAAATTTAAGGAGTTATATAAACTCAGCAAGGTAAAGGGAACCTATTTTCCACAAGCATTTTGATAAGGTGTAGAGTGATGAAAAACTATATTCAGATATAGACAAAAGTACATCTCTGCAATTTGAATTTATAAAAAAAAATTCTGGGAAGGGGGCTCCCCCAAATCCCACCCTCACTCAGGTTACTTTAGCAGGTGTTAACAATTTCTGCTCCCACGGCCCATCTTCATCTATCAAAGTTGCAAAAGCATGCACCTATTCATTTCCAAGTAAAACACTATATATATATAAAAACATCAGTCAACTTTGGGAAGTGACCTTTATGAGACATACAATGCAAATAGTTTTTGTTTACATTATACCCTGTTTATTTTTGTTTAAATTATACTTTGTTTATTTATTTACTATTACAGTATTGAACAACTTTGAGATTGTAAGTACTATTGTGAGATGATATTGTACTATTTTAGGAGTTTCAGGATAACCATGACTTCTGTCACTCCTGACTAATTTTTTCGTATATTAAAGTAATAGCAAATATGATTTCCTTTTCAGGTAAAAATTTAATGTTTGTTATTCTAAGAGATGGCACTGGTTTTCTGCAGTGTGTAATGGCTGACAAACTGGTTGGTATTTCAAATAATTTTTAATTGAAGTTTTTTTGTGGTAATTTAAAAAAAAAGCAATAAGCACTCAGAATGAACTATTTTCACAAATACTAAATAAGTGTGGGCAAAAAAAATTGTATAGACTTATCTGTAACAGTCTGTTTATAAACTAGTTTTTCTTTGCAGTGTCAAACTTATGAGGCTGTCACTCTAGCAACAGAAGCATCCATAGTTGTGTATGGAGTCATTCACAAGTTACCTGAAGGAAAAACTGTGAGTTATTTTGTCAGTCCTAATAATTGTGAAATTCTAACTATGGGCTATGATCATTTTGTAAACCCGCTGCTAACATAAATTGGCTTTAAAAAAATGTGATTTCAGGCTCCTGATAATCATGAAATGGCTGTGGATTTCTGGGAGATAATAGGTCCTTCTCCTCCAGGGGGTGCTGACAACTTGCTCAATGAGGTAATATTTTCTAATTTACTTTCATTTTTATTGTTGCAGTTATGAGAAGAAAAAAACTTATGGTATCTGTTCAGATTAAATGTACCTATGAGAAAAAACATTATTTTTTATACTTGCCGATTTGTTATTTATATTGTTTTAACAGGATGCTCATCCTGATGTCCAGCTGGATAACAGGCACATGATGATAAGAGGAGAGAATGTGAGATTTTATATGCTTTATCAAGATTAAAACAATAATTAAAAAAAGGATGACAATATTTAAATTTTATTTTTGGCATATTTAAGGGTTTACATCAAAACCAGGTTAGGCAGGAATCGGTAAATGCTAAAATATGTTTCTTAATTTGATATTTTTTATGAGATGCAAGGTATTATCAAAATAGTAACAGACACATTATGACGCACTCATTTAATTTTTCTCATGAATAAAAATATCTTAAGTGATATTCATAAAAACTAAGCTGCAAATTGTTTTATAACTTAAGCAGTCATGAATAATCTTTTTATTTTTGCAGACCGCTAAAGTGTTGAAGATGAGATCAGTTATTGTACAATGTTTTAGAGAGCACTTTTTTGATCGTGGGTATTTTGAACTTACTCCACCAACTATTGTTCAAACTCAAGTTGAAGGTGGATCAACATTATTCAAACTAAACTATTTTGGAGAGGAGGTATGTTGTTTATTATGCTGATTATAAGATTTTAATTGCATACACATTTTTGAATAAACATTTTGAAACTAATTTTTTTAAAAATGATGAATATTTGTAACTATGTGAAACAAGGTAAGGGAAACCGGAAAAATGGACGCAACAAAACAACAAACGTGTTGGCAAGAAGCCTTCTTCAGCAAACAAACGAGCAACACAAATATAAAAATAAACACTTTACTGAAATGTTGTATTTTTGAAATAGATTCAATGTCATTATATTATATCCTTACAAATTCATATAAATGATGAATACCTCTGTAAATAGATACAATTTTTTATCAACCATCAGTTGCTATGACTCTTTTGACATTGCCCATTTCATTTCAGGCATATTTAACCCAGAGTTCCCAACTGTATTTGGAGACCGCAATCCCTGCAATGGGTGATGTTTTTTGCATGGCTCAGTCTTATAGGGCAGAAGTCTCAAAGACTAGACGTCATCTTGCTGAGTAAGAAATCCATACAATATAATGTTAAACTTTGTATTGATAATGATATACCATTAAATACATTTTTGGCACTTAAAAAAAGTTATAGAAATAGTAGTTTTACTAATCTTAGTTATATCTAGATCCCTGAAGCACTCTGTTATTAATTTTGACATATTATTATTTATTAAAAGGAACAGTGTGCAAAGATTTAAATTCACTGATGGAGCTACATCTTTTTGACATGTTGAATATTTTAACCCTATCCATCTCAACATATTGTATGTCCTGTCCCTAGCAACTGGGTGTAGCACACCTGTACACTTATTATAATGGGAAAAAGTGTTTCTGTCTATTCCTGGCTACTGAGTGGGCTACACCCATAGTCTTATTTCCCAGTAAATGGTTCTCTTCAGGGGTAGTTAAGGGGGCCAGAGGGGGACAGGTGTCACTGGGCGCCAGTCTAGTTAGGGGCACCAAAATGTGCTTTGCTATTATTTTATACTTTAATATTATTTTATTGATTACAATAATGGGTATGAGAGTTGGAAAAACTAAATGGAGGCTCTCTAAAATGAATCTCGTCTCCGGGCGCCAAACACTCTAGCGACGCCTCTGGTTCTCTTTGTGTTATTTTCTTTTTTACTATGTGGCATGATTTAGTTGCCTTGAAACCGAACTTCCTTCACGGATCACAGTGTTGCTCCCTCTGAAGTATTTCTTCTGTACATTAATGAAAAAATGATACAAAAAAAAAATGATACAAACAATAGTTGACTGCACCAACAGGGAAGGTGAGAAAGTAAGAGGAGACAAATGTCAAAGGAATGATGCGATCTAAATGAAATCTTTTATTGGCTACCTACTACTACTACTAAACACTGGCAATCTTCATCTCAACATTATTTCAGTGGACTTTATATTTAGCCATGTTGATGGAAATCCTATTCTTATGGCACATTTTCAATGACGAGATTCAGCAAACTTCTGATTCATACTTGTTTTGACAACAATGATATTAGATCAATCCTTTCTAGCTTGTGACATCTTTGATCCAATTATAAGAGATGTATGAGAAGCATTCCTGAGTAATTTGGCGAGGTATTATGTTCCTGGAGAGAACATCACAGTAGATGAGCAACTGGTTGGTTTCAGAGGTCGGTGCAGATTTATTCAATATATGCCAAGCAAGCCCGACAAATATGGAATACAAATCTTCTGGGCTTGTGACTGTGAATCGACTTCGAACTATCCTCTGAGAAGATGCCCATATCTTGGCAAAGAAAATACAAGTGCCCTGCCAGCAAAGAAAAATTTTGGAATATCCCCTAATGCTGTGATTTCTCTCACAAGAGACTTGCATGGAAGTGGACACAATTTCAGAACAGACTATTTTATTCCCCTACAACTTGCAGAACCAATGGCCAAGAACAGACTCACACTGTTGGAACAGTGAAATGGAACAAGATGTTCCTGCCCAAGGGCGTTCTCGCAAAAGAAGGCTCTGAATACAAAAAACTAAAAATAAAAGATGGCCTTTGGTTGTGTATTTCAACATTTTTGACTTCGCATCAAGAGTGGCATTTAAATATAAATATCCGACTAACTGTCTCATGAAGACAAAAAGCAAAAATATTGACGTTGCACATTTCCTCACCCTTCCGCACTTGGAGGTGATCCGTCCAGACGCATCAAGATATTGTGAGGCAGAACTTCCCCAGTCTTTTGAAGTCTTTACAAGCACTTCAAACAGCTGCCCAAACCACTTCAACTCAGCAAGTTTATTAGACATATTTACAAAGACCATTCTGTTCTTTTATGTAAAAACTGTGCAAGCAAAGCCCCCTTTTTCCATGTGTACATTTGACTGCTCTGTTTTGAAATGGTTTTTCAAGTTGAATTCATGTTGTTATTGTTGGTACCCAAATGCATTCAGAATACTTATTTATTTTCAACATTTAATATCTATTTTATGGATGACACTGACTCAAATAATCAAAAAACAAAACCAAACAAAAATATTCGTAAGCCGGTTTAGACACTGTTTTCTTCTATTAAATTATGCACTAGTGTGTTACACCCATTTGCTACGGAGTGTAGAACAATAGTTTATGCCCCCAAAAATAAGTCACTTTGACATGCTTTATACAATTGCTTCCACCTAGGTGTTCATTCAACTACCTTGTGGATTAGGTTAGAGTATAAGAAAGATTATTAAAATCGAGATATCAGCTATCAAAGTCTGTCTCCTGGTGTATTACACTTACACCCAATAATTTTTATATTGATTATCAAAAAATATTAAAGTAGTCCTTATGGATTTTAGCTACTATAGTTTTCTTATGATGTTAAAATAAAAAAAAATGTTACAAAATAATTTTGATATTTCCAAAAAATTTTCTCAAGCCTGTTTTTTAAATTAAACTGTTGTAACTGGAATATAGAAACAATTTAATGGCATCAGATCTATTATTTGCATTTCTCAGGTACACTCATTGTGAAGCAGAATGTCCATTTATCACATATGAAAAATTATTGGATAAGATTGAAGACCTTGTCTGTGATGTTGTTGAGAGGGTCCTTAAGTCTCCATATGCTAGCCTTGTGTATGAGCTAAATCCTGTGAGCTTACTTTAAATTAAACTCTTCAACAATATTTATTAAAAATTTTTATCGTCATTTAACTTTTTAAGTACCCTATTTTAAGAATGCTTTGAAATACCATATTTAAAAACGTTCTTCAATTATTTCAATATTAAAATATCTGATCACTTTAAAAAACTATCGAATTTTGTTTAATATCTAGAGAAGTTATAGTTGTAGGCGAGGTTAAAATTCCAAATGCTTTTTTAAAAAAAAATATCCACTGGATTAGTAAAATAAAGGAAATGTAATTATCTTGGATGAAATTTTTTTTATATTTATGAGTCAATTATGCATGATGATAAAATTCAATCATCTTATACTTATAGATTAGTTTTCTCACAATCTGACACTACTTTTCCCTAGGATTTTAAACCCCCCAAGAAACCCTTCAAAAGAATGGATTACACTGATGCCGTGATTTGGTTAAAAGAGAACAATGTAACAAAAGAGGATGGAACATTTTATGAGTTTGGTGATGTGAGTTCCTAGTTCATGTATAGATTTTTCACAGTGCTCAATTAAGTCATATGATTTAGATTTATGACAATATTAAGTTATTTTTCATTAAGTCGTGACAGAGGTATCAAAATATTTTTGCCATTTAATGTTTAAATATTTTTCTCATTCATTTTAGATTAAATTTGGCACATTTTTATCAAACTATACTTACTCAATATACGGTATATTTAACGGTGGGTAAATTTTTTAGGATATACCAGAAGCACCTGAGAGGAAAATGACTGATACAATCAATGAACCAATTATGTTGTGTCGGTTCCCTGCTGAGATCAAATCATTCTACATGCCAAGATGTAAGGAGGACAATCGACTCACAGAATCGGTGTGTAGGGTATTGTACTTACACAAATGATAGCTATAATTAGGCAAAGGGACACAACTATTTTAAAAAAAATGTCTGTTATTTTTAACAAAAGACAAAATGTAAAACATAAAAGTCAACATTATATATATATTTTATTATATATAACCTTTTAATATTCTAATATATATAAAATGCATGGAATTTAATAATCACTTTAAAAAATTTTTTTTTTTTAGAGAATAACCTAATAAAAAGAGCTTCATTCTCGCGTGAGCAGCAGTAAATTTAAGCAGAGGAATGTATGGTAGTTAATGGCTAGGCCCCGAACATGACAGTCCACCCTGGTGTAGTAGGCAATTGCTAGTGATAATTTGGGAGGGGGCAATCAGCGCTAATGGCAGTAGAGGGTTAATATAAATTTCATTAAAAAAATTTAGTAGCAACTAAACATTTTACAGTGAAAATCTATATGAGATTAAATCATAGGTGAAAAACTCATTTTATCATAGATATTTAGTTAATTTATTCTTGATGTTTCATTTTATAAGAATTTATATTTAAATCAACTTTTGTAAAGGATTGGTCTGAAATGAATCATTTCTGTTGATAACTCATCAGAGGACAAACTAAATGATTTTTTTAGGACTTTAGCACTATTAGTATACTTTTTTAGTAGACATTACCAGTAATCATTAAAAAGTTAGTAAATCTACAGTATTAAAAAAAAGTCATTTATTTTATATTAAATATATAGATTGAAGGTAAAATTGCTTAAATTATTCAGCAATTCAGTTAAATAAATTGTGTTGTAGTAGATGTCAAGTTGAAAGAAAAATCCAAATTAATAAAGCAAACAAATACAGTCATCTCAAAAAAAGTATATGTTTCAGTTTAAGAGAGAAAAAAAAAGAGATAATATGTTTATAATAAAATACAAGTTACCTCTTTATTAGTTATTCTCAAAGCTATAGATCACATTTTTTAGAGACATAAAATGCATAATTATTTGCTTATTCAATATATTATACATATTGAGCTCACACCTGTGTTATCTCAGTTTTGGAGTGTGGTGGAGCAAGCATTTAAATATTTTCTTTGCCATTTTGAAAAGTTTGGATATTGCAATGTTGTAGAGAAATAAGCATAAACATATTCACCTTGAGCAACTAAAGCCATAAGCTTTCCCCCAAAACTGCTAAGTATAATCTATAATAAGTAAGGATCTTGCTTTATTTTTTAATTGATTGTATTGTTGTCATTTACAGGTAGATCTTTTGATGCCCAATGTGGGAGAGATTGTGGGAGGTTCAATGAGGATCTGGAAGCAGGAGGAGCTTGAGGCAGGATTTAAAAGAGAGGGTATTGATACAACACCTTACTACTGGTACTTTGATCAGGTGGGTTATGAATATTATTAAGCTTTTATACCGGTATAAGGCAGTCATCTAAAGCAATTAACTAACAGAAAATCTCAAAGAGCATGGTAAACTGATCAATAAAATCATTATGCTGAATAAACCTGAGGCAAGTATTTCAAAATGAAATGTAGGCAAATATTTCAAAATCCTTTAGAGTAATGTCATTTACACTTTAAATCCATGTGATGTTTGCTCTATAACATCGGAGTGGTTATTCATGGTCGGCTGAGAATAATAACTGCTAGTGGAAGTAAATCATTCATTGACTGGGAATAACTATGATCGTTATAACTAGTCAGCTGAGAATAATGTTGAGCATTATTCCCAGCCGACTGGGTATCATAATATTGTTACTTGTATCATAAAAAAGTCTGTTAAAATTAAAACAAATGATAGATTCAATAAAGCCCATAATTCCAGTACATTCTTTTTTTTAAAAATTGCTAGCAGGAGTAAACAATTTATCAGCTAGGAATATCGTTGAGCATTATTCCCAGCAGACTTGGAATAACACCTCCGCTATAACACAGCAACAAACAAAATTCATGAATAATCACCCCTTAGCTGAGCATGCATTTTAACATATTTACATGCTTCCCAAATGGATAAATTACAACTTTTAAATAAAATTAGCGTATTGAAAGTATGATTTTTGTCACAATAGAATTTTTTTTACACATATCAATCGTAAATTTTGTAAAAAATGGACTGAGATGATGAATTTGATAGCAATTTTTTGTAATCATATATTTACGGCCATAGCCTGAAATCGGCCAGAGTGGGAACTGGCCGGCCAAATCGAGAAATGGCCAATATTGCCTCACATTGACTGGCCAATATCCGATATTTTCTGGATATTGGGATTTGGCCAGCGAGTTTGCGAAATGGCATGGGGTGATTGGCTTGAGTCGGAAGAAAAGGGTCATGAGCATAATTTGGGTGTTTGTATACCTACCGTAAGGATACTCTCATTATATTTTAATTATACTAAATTACCAAATCAGTCAAATTAGTTTATTATAGTTAATTATCAATCTCTACCCTCACTTGTTACAACAAGATGATTTTTTATGATCTTTTGTATTAAACAGTAGTTTGTTATTTTTACATTTGCAATGACTTGTGAAGCACTTGATAGTGCAATTGCATCGAGTGATCATGTTTCTTTGCCTTTAGAACTAACCTAGCAGCTGAGTTTTGAACTTTCTGCAGTTTTTCTATGAAATGTTTTAATAAACCTGACAGAAGAGACTTACAATAGTCAAGACGAGAGAGAACAAGAGCACAGACTAGTGTTTTTGTTGCACTAACTGTGAGGTAGTGGCAGATAGCGGTACGCAGAGTGACAGATGTGAGAAAAATGATTATTGAGAGACATGTTATCAGAAAGAATGTAACCATCACTGACCATAGGTAAACTTTCGCCCTGTGTGAAGCACCTGTTCGGCGCCCCCTTCCCTAATATCCACGCCCTTTCGGTTGGTCCCAACCTCAGTGTTAGTATTCACATTAAGAATGCAACTTTCATTGTATGAAAACTCATCGCATGAAAAGCGAATGTACGAAAATTTAGATTACTGTTTCTCGACCCACGGACCCAAGGTTCACACCTCACTTTAATAAACTGAGGGAATTAAAATATTTACTGCGCCCCTATGGCCATGGCGCCCTGTGCGAGGGCATAGGTTGCACACCCTGATGGCCGGCCCTGCAACATTATGAAATAATCTGCCAGTAATTTTCTATCCGCACCCCTCGCCATCTTCATTATTTTTTTAATCCACAAATTGCATGGACATCGTTGCTGCAGGATCCATCCACAAGAATGGGCTGAATAACACTCTTTTTCCCACACTACACATAATCTGTTCGCATTGTTATTAGTCTTACATCAGCATATCGAATATTGGCCAGGGATATCCCGGCACTTCGAGAAGTGGCGGGCCAAAGTAGCATATGCACTGGCAATTTCAAGTACATCGGACATTGGCCACACGCCTCGACCAAAGTGCGAAATGGCCAGCCAATTGGGGAACTGGCTGAACTTTGGGCGTAACATATATGAAAGTAGTGAAAGTTTATCTGTTCCACAAAGGCTTTTACATGGATTGATGGATCTTGACCAAACTTGGCACATATATCCATCATTATCCAGAAGGACTCTTAAAGGGTTATTAACTTTTTATAACATTCAGTTAGGGGCCCCGAATTCCTTTTTTTTCTTATACAAGCTATATAAATCAAATTAACAACAAATACTCCTACATGAATAGATGGATCTTGACCAAACTTAGTACACATCCACTTGATTCTCCATATTCAAATACCGAAGGGTACTGACCTCATAATATCCATTCAGTATCCCAAAGGGATTTTATTTTGAAAGGGGATCCCAATTGGAAACAGGATCCCAATGGGATCAGGATACCACCGGGATCAGAAAACTGATGGGATCGGGATCACACCGGAATTGTGATCCAGAGGAATCGGGATACCGACCGGGATATGGATGCCAATGGGATCGGGAGGCAGTTCCCGGCTATGCCGGATAACTTGGCTAGTTATAAATAATTCATAGATTAACTATGTTAGCTGTATTCAGATTCCTGTATTTAAAATAACCCCTTATAAACCTTATATACTGTTTGAGGAAATGGCCTATAACCAAATTTGACTAACAATATAATTTGACATATTCCCGAAGTTACCTCCTACATCATATGACATATTTAAATCATGGCCCTGGTTGCAATATCTGAAAAGTTGAACTAAAATTAGTTCACATTTTTTGCCAACTTGTCCTACAAGTTTTCAATTATGGTAATGTATTGGCTATTATTATGTATTGCTTAAAAATTATAGTAATGTTTTGTTCACATGCTGTGTGCTTTTTCCCCTTTCTATTCAGACAAAGTATGGGAGCTGTCCCCATGGTGGTTATGGACTTGGAGTAGAGAGATTTCTGTGTTGGATTCTGAACCGCTATCATATTCGTGAAGTGTGTGCTTATCCCAGATTTGTAGGCAGGTGTAAGCCATAAAAAAGTTTCACAAAATGATCACAAAATTGAAAGTAGATTAACTGATCATGTAACCCTATGTCTGTAAAATCCACTAAACTGAATAGTCACAAAGTTTCTATACACACTATTAATACTTGCTTTACTTTGTTGTTAAATTAAAAACAAAAGTTGTGTTGATTTTTTTGTTTTAACTTATGAGATTTGATCTCTTTAACTTAAATGCGGTCAACTAATAAATTGATTAAATGTATATGAAGTTTGAGCTGTTTGTTATACTCATTGCTTAAACTTAACTACACTGACATTAGTGTGATTACATGTTATTTAAAAAATTTCTATAAAATTCCACAAGGTAAAGGCCATGTGTATAATATGCAGAGTGAATCAAATGTTAACAGTTAACATAAAGACCAAGTAGGGGAACGGTTACTAAACTGGTGATGGTATATCAATATTTGGATAGATATTTATAAATTATGTCCTATTTGTTTGCCATTATCCGGCCAGATGTTGAGAAATTCTAAAATTTCAGACCTTAAGCTACATTTTCAATGTGAAATTCTTTTAATATCATGATTAAAATTTATTTGGTTAGCAAACTTTAAGTTTCTTTATCCCAATTATTTTGTGTTCTTTCAAAAAATACACAGTTAGGTTAACAAAAGTTATGGGACTTATATTAGTGTTTTGATATTTCTGTAAAATTTGAGCAAAACAATTTGTGAATATCTTTCTTTATTTTCTGGAATCAATTTATGTTGTTTTTAACACACCATCAAAATAACATTTAATGGTTGATTTTCTTGCCTTTCATAAACCATATTTGGTGTACACCTGCTCCATTTATATATATATGAAATAAAATGTACTTCTTGCTAGACATGAATATTTCTTTTATTATCTCTTGTGCTTAACCTATTTATGCCAGTGGTTTTAATTTTTTTATGTGCATAAAATTCATTCAGGTTAGCTAAAAATATTTTAAAAATGAGAATTGGAAGAGAACATTTTCTAATGTATCCAATTGTCATTTATGAGATATGTGGCATTTTTCACTGTACCTGATGTCCAATTGTACTAAGTAAGCTTATCAAGAAGTGCACAACTGTTGAAAAAGTTATCAATAAAGGGAGTGTTACCTATGTATGTGCAACAACCAACTGAATTGCATTTAAATTTAATGCACCACCACTATATTTCTCTTGTTTATTATCTGGATTTTACCCAGATGGCTGAAACAAGGGAAAAAAGCCCTGTCCTGTTGCACCACACAAAAGTTTATAACCAAACCGAATGGGCTTTCCCCAAAAATATTGTTTGCACCCTTGATGACCAAAATAAGGAACCATGAATTTATTAAAGCTGAAATATATATATATTTTTCCTTTGGAACATATTTTATGCATTTCTCATTGGATTTGTTTATGAGATGTCACATCTTAGAAATCTTCTCAATTGTGCCCAAACTGGCATTGTCAGGAACGTGAAAAGTAGAAAATATAATTTTAGAGTGATCAAGTCTCATGGCATCACAAGTGCATCTGGAAGTATTTGTCCTCGTAACATACGCCTTCCGGGAATTGAGATGAAAGCATTTGGGAAAACAATTGAATTCAGAGCTTGTCAAGCCAAGATTTACACCATTACTTGCTGCATACAAGTTTAAGTAGTAGTACATGACAATGAGTTCAATGAAAATTTGTAAGAATTTCTGTGGAGTTCATGTTTCAATGAAGCAATCGTTTGGTGTTTCTGTAGCTCTATCTACTGCGGGTTATTAAGTTAGGTCAGCCCTTTTCCATTTGGGAAACTTTTTGTCACTTTCTTTCGCTTTGATTTCAGCAGTTGCTGCACAGTTGAGGTTGGTGGAAATTTATCATAAAGAGAGCATGAGGGATCTATGGGTCAGAATTATCATATAAATTTTGAATTAAATTAAATATGCAGGTCATCACAACAAAGACCAAGTCAAATTATTTATTGCTCCACCTGCTTTATCTCCTGAGTTCTAATCAGAAACACTCGCTGAACCATTATCAGATGGTTTATCATTATACAACTTAGTTCAACAGTGTCATCTGTCTCAGTTATTTCATGTTATTTAAGAGGTCGAGGCATATTGAGAGTTAAAGCTTTTCAGCTCTTAAAAAATACTATCAGTCCTACTGGTTTGGGATTTGCTTAGTGTTCCAAAAATGGAAATCCAGCATTTCAAACCCATAGCCATAAGGGGTCATGCACATATAATATATTATATGTAAATATAAGTAAAAAAATATGGCATTTATTATCCACCTCCTGCCAGGGCTGCTACACCTTGGGAATTTTCCCAAGATCTTGGAAATTCACTTCCCCATTCAGGACCAAAACTCACTTTTTAAAAAAATCCCAAGATCTTGGTAAATATTTTGACAAAATCTTGTAAATTTAAAAAAAAACTTGAGCGGTAGCCCTGCCTCCTGCCCCTTATAACATTCTATAACATTTCTCCACACACACACAACCCCCCCAAACACTTATCCTTTTGAACCCAAAATTTAATACACCGCTAGCTGTACATTTATCAAAGTTTAGTGAAACATCTATGCACATATTCCTAAATATAATATGTAATTAAATGTAATACTATTAATTCAGAGTTTTATAAAGTGAACCACCAAATAAACCAGGCTGTGAACAAAGCTCATTCATATCCTCCAAATCCATAAAAATAAAGGCAAAATGTGTTTCTTAATTCAACAAGCGGGTATAAATAAAAAGTAGTTTACCAAAGTGATGGTCAGTGTTTTTTTTAAAAATATTTCTCAAAAAATAATGCCAGTGTTCACAATAGGGCTGAGCTGGGTACTAACAGGAAAACTTGAAATAAAGAGTACTAGCACATTCTGCACATACCCAGACATGGCAAAAAAAAAAAAAAAGAACAAAATAATTTTAAAAAAAAACATAATTTTT